ATGGTGAGATTTGTGAAACTTGGCACATCAAAACGTTTGTTTCACTGTATCATGGTGAGATTGGTGAAACTTGGCACATAGACTCGTCGCAAATGAAAAATCATTCTGTCAAATTTCAGCCCCACCAACCAGCTCCAAAAAAAAACCCCCAACTTTTCCTGTCTCTCGGGAAGATGAAGGAAATATTATGCCACTGATTTCGCGAAATAAAATTCCAGTTAAATGCGCTAAATGAGATTCTTTAAAATATCGCAAATGCGTTTGATTTCTTTTATTTTTCTTAAATAGATGCTGAAATAAATCTGCGGTGTAACAGCGGTGGGACATTAGAATATTAATTTTATATAAAAATGCATGTAAAGGAAGTATTCAAGAAACTTTGTTTTAAGAGTTTGTTTAATGTTAAATTGATGCCGTCCTGTGGAAGGTGATGCACAAAACCTGAACAATATGGTAGAAGGGAATAAGCCAAACAAAGTGTAGGAAACCTAAACAAATATGCAACAAAACAACAAACGTATCGACAAGAAGCCTTCTTAAGCCAATAAACAGAAAAAAAAGAAAATGTTGAAAACAAAAAGTTAACTGCAATGTAGTATTCGAGAGGACAGCAAGAGGAATGTGATTTAACATTTGTAGGTGAGAGGACAGCAAGAGGAATGGGATATAACATTAGTAGGCGAGAGGAAAGCAAGAAGAATATGATATAACATTAGTAGGTTAGGGGACAGCAAAGGTGCCCATTATTAAAATTAATTTTCATAACAAAAAACTAATCAATATCTTGTTAGAAATAGAAAGGTTTATAAAAAAAAAAAACTTTTTTTATTTTTAAAAAAATCATTTCCCGGCTCCCCTATTTCGCTCCCGCCCCCCCCCCCCCTTTTTTTCACACTTTTTAATTTTTTTTTAGTTCCGCCCCACGGAGTGTGCAGTGTCTTGCCGTACGGCTCGGGGCAGCCCTGCTTCACCGTCTCGTCTCAATAGTTACAAGGCCGTCCAAAAAAAGAATGGAATATATTCGCCATGATGTTCATATTCTAACGTGCGCTGTTATCATTTTCACCATAGCCATCAACTTTTTAATGAATAGATTTAAAAAAAACAAAACAACCGAGATAGAGTCAAGCCGCGAAAGTCGGAGCGCGAAGTGGCGAGGGGCGAGGGGCGACTGGATACAATTCTCATTGACAAAATGGCTTAGAACTGCCATTTCTGAGATTCCTGAGAAAAGTTTAAGAACACTGGTTTATAGCATCAAAACAAAAAAGAAGATCTTTACACCGCGTCAAGTAGAATAATTCTATTGCCTGTTTTCAAATAAACGAAATGTCATTTGGTCTGATCCCATTTTAAAATGTGTCAATGATTTGATATTTCCATAACGCCGGATGGAGCGATTGTTCATAACAAGAATAGCTGTCATTCAGTGAATAATCAATTTTTATTCGTTCAACAAACCATCGCCAGTCTCTGCGTGACAGGTGGCGGTCCATTCATAAATTAACACACAGTTTTGTGAGGATATGGGCAGAGCGTTGAATAAGTGCATCGCGTGCCTCGACATGGCTCATCATTGTGTTACCGTTATCGGGATCGCCTGTTCGTGGTGTCGTTGATTCTTGTTTTCATGCATAATTTTTTTTTGTGTCAGTGGAATCCTCCTATAGCATGTTAAAAATAGACAGTGCTATGTTTGCAACATTGTGTTGGATACGTCTCTGCCAGACCGTGAACTTTTTTTTTTCCTTCTTGACAACACCTCCACGGGAGCTGCTCCACTTCTGCTATCACTAACAAAATAATTCAACATTCACTGATGTCTTGTGATATCGCGGTGCTGTTGCTCTCTCATCATTACCAGCGGTGCAAACGATTCATTTCTTGTGACCAATTGTCGAAGAACACCCACGCGTTGTTAGATCTTTTTTTTTTTCTTTTTTTTGGGTCTGTTTTCGGCGACATTCATGGTCTCCAGCCATATCAGGCACAGGGGCTTTTTTTGAACTGTGGGATACTGCACTTGGGAAATAACTATTGACTGGCTGGTACTCAATGAATATAAATAATAATTGAAAACAATTATTTAAGAAATAATTAAACATATACCAGGAATATGGAATCGTCAGAAAGAAAATTGCTGGTAAGAAAATGATTGACAAATGAGCCTATACAGAAATATCACGAGAACCCCTGATTTTTTTTTTCTCTTTCAGAAAAAGAAAATATGTGACGAAAAAACAGCATAAGTTGTCTCATAATCTCATGTCTCATGTTTACCCTCTTGAGTGCAGGGAAGACATGCTAAGAGTTAAGCTTGTGAATACAACAGCTCAATGTATTAATGTTTACTGGGTGTCTAGTGTTGACAAGTTTTTTTTATCAAAGTCATTTAAATTGTGAGTCACGTTTTCTATTTAGGTTACCAATCAAAAGAGATACTAAACTTAATACACTAGAAAATTTAGTCGTGTAATACAAGGAAAACAGAGGTGTTTCTTTACAAAGGACAATAAGAGATGTCTCCATAGCCGTTGCCTCCGGAGGAATCCGCATGATCGACTTTGATGGTCACTTAAAGCTAAAAGTTTCATTAGAAATCACCCAATGGATTTTTGCGTTTTGGAGAGGAAAGAAAATACAATTAATTCAACTTGGTTTTCGTCTCTAAACAGAGACTGCGATAACTACATTTTTCATAATCTTAAGCAATATGGATTCTTGGATCTGGATTGGATCTTTAGTTTTTCAATAGGCATAACCCATCGCGGCATTTTTCTCTTGTGCTGTTTTTCATTAAAAAAAATAGCCAGATTTCTAGAATTTTTTTTTGTTTTGTTGGTTAGGGTTTCTGCTGTTTGAGAACTGTAGCCAAGAGGCTAATGTGGAGCCGGGGCTCTCCCTGTTGCCGAGGATGAACAATTTATGATCAGTGAGACCCGACTGCAAGTGCCGTCGTTTTACTTAATACATATTGCAATCTCATATTTTGATACGGAAATAAAAAAGAGTTCATCCGTGAAAATTTAGCTTCTTTTCTTCCAGGTTTCATTCCGTCTATTTATTCCCGTCCCCCATCCACGGCATATATTTGTGCCATCCTAACTTTGTCCGACCTCCTTACACAGACCCATCGCGTGGTCTTGGAGCCCTCCTCCCCCCCCCCCACACACACACCAAACACTTTTCAGTTTTCCGCCTTCTGCGTGTAAATTTGAAAGGTTCATTTTTCCCATATCATAATTTTAGGCCCTCTAAATACCAGAGATCCACCACCAGCCCCCTCCCCCCTCCCCCCCCCC